CGGGCCGACGCCCCTGCCCTATAACAAAAACCCACCCAAAAAAAAAAAAAAAAAAAGAAAAAGAAAAAGAAATGTCCAGCAAGTACACAAAACTGGGTATTTGAGGGTCTTTCTTACAATATTAGTAGTATCAATTACTAGAAATAATGAATATCAGCTGGGAAAAATAGTCTACCTCTGAATTTTGTGAATGGTGCGTATCTGTAGTACCTATTCCAGAACATTAAATATAAAAATATGAAAGGACAATACAACAGTAGAGCCATACTGTAAAGTACTAAGCAAAGAATGAGATGGTTCCCCAAGTAGTGACATGAAGGGAAACCTGTGATCCAAAGGAAACAGCAAATGTCAATGGCCATGTGGGCTGAGCGTCCCTCACCCAAAAACCTAAAATGTCCCAAATCTAGAACATTTTGAGAGCTCATGTGACACCACCAGTGGAAAATTCCACTTTACTTTCTGAAGGTTCAGTGTACACAGACTTTGTCTTATGCCAAAAGCTACTTAAAATATTGTATGAAACTATCTTTAGGCTATTTGTATAAGGTATTTAGGAAACATTAATGAATTTTTTGTTTCAATTTGAGTCTCATCCTCAATATAGCTCATGATGTGTAGGTAAATATTCCAAAATCAAAAAAAAAATCTTAAATCTGAAACACTTCTAGTCCAAATCATTTCAGATATACAACACTCAATCTGTCTAGCATTGCTAGGTTTTTTTGTTTGTTTTCCTTAAAGAAAAAGAAATACTTACCTGTTACGTATTAATAGTCATTGCCCTAGAGGAGAGGTGGAAACTTGAGGGTACAGTGGATTTTCATTTTAGGTATTTGGGCATTGTCAATTATTTCTCACTGATTACATTCTCAGTTTATATGTATTAGGTTGTCGGGAAAGTCATGATGTATTTTTCTATGCATCATGACTTCCCCCAACAACCCAATATATATATATATATTTAAACATTTTTGAAAACACTGCATGAAACTACAAATTCTAGTAGGTAACAAACAAATGAAATATTACATTTTATGAAGCATTCAACCATAAGCAAAGTTAATACTACATGAGTCAGTAGGCCATGCTTCAGTATTAAGTTTGACAAAGCAATTGCTATAGTAATTCAGAGGCATGGAAGGTCACTGTGGGCTGGGTTGGTCTTGGATATAACTGGATGAGAGGCTCACAGTGGGGTATTCATTTGCTTTAGTCCTGTACCATTGGTGTAAATGGTAACCACAGGACTTTTATTTCTGGGGTATGTGGTCCTGAAAGAGAGATGTGTACAGACGGTGCTGTGGTTTCCTATGTTGATTCTGTTTATTCTGTAGTGTACAGAAGGTACCAAAATAAGCCGAAAATGTATTATTAACTCCTCTGGAAAGCAAAAATATACTTTGTATCTATTTTCTGACTTGGAACTGGGATGGTTCACCCAAGAGAAAACAGAGGGGTATGTGTCTTTTTTTTCTCAAGCCCCAGTGAGTCAGTCAGTGGGTTGACCCTGCCTACAGACCTCTGTGTGCAGATGGCACGGGACCTGAGCATTTCCTTCTCTTAGACTTCCCTGGTAACACTGCTGTCCACAAGACAGTGAGCAAGTCCATGCATAGTATGAACTCAGTCAGCAACAGGCACACTCACACTGGCACTTGGATTCTTTGCAGAACTGGTATTGCAGATAATCCATCATCTGAATTGAAATATGATCTTAAGATCTGTTATTGTAAAGTCTAGTCATTTATTTTAGTGTTTTTTTTTTTTTCCTTTTTGAATGTATGAGAGGCTGCATGTGATCACCAGAGATAGAGAGAAAGAAAGGGAGAGGGAGAAAGCACCCTCCCCAATGGGCATGGGCATGCACCAGTTCCTCCTCTATTTCTCCATCCTGTCAAGACTTCAGGTACATATGCGCATGCACTGGGCATGGTTTTCAAGGCCCTGAGCTGGAATTCAAACCCTGCAGTCGACCAGGTGGGATCTGTCTGTTTTAACCAGGCCAAGGAGTTGGCCCTGTTTTAGCTTATTTATTTATTTATTTTTATTTTTATTTTTTTTTCTTGCTGTAGGATGCCAGAGAGACAGAGAGAGAGAAAGCAAGAAATCACCCCTCCCCCCCTCAGAAAGATGGCCACGCCACAATCCCTTCCATTCTCCTCTTGGGATTTTGAGCATGCACGTACATGCCTGGTGTGAGTTTTATGCTAGGTCCAGGACTCAAACAATGGTTGACTATGTGGGAGTCCAGCAACATAACCATTATGCCATCTGCTGATCCCTGTTATTGATAATCTTTTTAGCCTCTTATTTATGCCTTTGCTTTAGCATTTGGGGGGAACCCAGTTATTAGTCTAGGAAGCATGACGACCTTGTTTAAATATCTGTGCTTTATGCTAGTTTTCAAGTCTTGACTTTTTTCTTTACGCTCTTAATGTTTTTTTTTATTTTTTGGAGAGGTTTTTCACTATAGGGTGCGTGTGCTCGCCAGACAGACAGAGAGACAGAGAGACAGAAAGCAAGAAATCACCCTTCTGGGGGATATGGTCACGCCACAATCCCTTCTCCTCCATTATCTTCTCGGGATCTTGGGCACGCACGCACACGTGCCCGACTCTTACTGGTTAACACAGGTAGAGAAGATGACCTTAATTTTTTTTTTCCTTGACACATGAAACTTTAAACATTCCATATATTTGCTTAACTCCTATTTTAAATGAAATAGGCACAAGAATGAAAAATCATCTGTTGATGATGATCTATATGGTAATATCTTTGACTTGATTGACATGCACTGTATGAATACTGGGAAAAACCATGTTACACAGTGTAAAGATACACAGTGATTAAAGGTAGTTTTTTAAAAAAGGAAGAAATTATTCTTTGTTCAATGAAATGAAAGAGTTTGAAGTACTTTAAATGTTCACAATGTATAATAAATATTGTTTTTTTTTTGAGAGAGAGTTTTTTTTTTGCCTTAGGGCATGTGCACTCTCCAGAAGGAGACAGAGACAGTGAGAAGAAAAGTGAGAAATCACCCCTTGGAGGGGATCTCTGTGCTGCAATCCTTTCTCCTCCCAAAATCTTGGGCACACATGTGCACATGCCCAGAATGATTTTCAAGGTCCAGGTCTAGGACTCAAACTGTGGTTGTCCATGTGGGAGCCAGTGATGTAACTGCTACTCCATTTGCTGGCCCTAGGATATTCTTTAAGAAAAAAAAAATCATGATACCTGGCAAATACATCTTTAACTTCCTTGCATTAGTTCTCATGGTGGAGGGAGACAATGTTTGCATAAGAACAAGGGAGATCACTTTCTGTCTCACTCGAAGAGCAAATATCTCAGAGTAAGGGGCAGTGGAGTTGTAAACCTGCTATGCCTTTAGATTCCTGTGGGTGTATTTCTTGTCATTGTACTGGGAAGATTCTAGGACTTCAAATACATACTTCTCACCCAGTGTGACCCATTAGTGACAGACTATGGTGTACAACGCGCAGTCCCTTCAAGGGTACTTAATTCATGCAGTTCTCATGAATGCATTGACTTTAGACCTTAACTCCATGTAAGTGACAATTCCTCTGTACTCAGTACTGTACCCGTTGTGTATGTGTGGAATGGACCCATCTTTACTGAATGCATTGTTCAGGAAAAAAAAAATTTTCCTCATCTCTGCAACTGATATGGTAGAAATATTTTGAAAAACATTGTTTTTCCAAAAAGTTTGTTAATAATGCATTTGTTGTTAGAATTACCTGTGCACTCTTATATTACTTACTATGTTTTTAAAAAGTAGCTTAATCCATTTAGTCCCACATTTTACTCAGATTACTGTTTTTATTATTATTATTTGCTATTGGGCACATATGCTCCCTGGGGGAGGGGGTAAGAAAACACCTCCCAGGAGCGTGGCTATTCTCTGATCCCTCCTCCATTTTCCTCTTGAGATTTGGGACACACATGCACATGCACTCAGCATGTTCCTCAAGCCACCAGGTTCAGGACTGGAACCGTGTAGTCAGCCATGTGGGATGCAGCTGCCTTAACCACTATGCCACTGACTGGCCCCAGATTAGTTATATACTATTTCAATATAACTTATTTTTATCTCCTCTCTTCATATAGTTCTTGTTTATTTCCCATGTATTTTGTCAATTGAAAATGGTATATGTGTCTGGTAATGGGATATTAATTACTGGTAAGATACATAGGTAGATTTCCCACATTTGTTAATTGAAAAGAGGTCTATATGTCTCTTATGAAAGTATTTCTGTGCTCAATCCATAATTTAATAACAGGGAGCCATCCTTAGAATAAAATACTTAGTGAAATATAACCTTAAGGGTTTTTTTTTTTTTTCTTTTTTGGTTAGGTTTTTGCCATAGAGCAAGTGTGCTTGACAGAGAGAGATAGTGAGAGGAAAAATAAAAAAATCATCCCTTGGGGGGATGGCCACCTCATAGTCTCTTCTCCTCCATTCTCCTTCTGGGATTTTGGGAATGCATGCACATATGCCTGGCATGATTTTCAAGCCGCCAGGTCTGGTATTTGAACCATGATCAGCCATATGCAAGTCCAGTGCTTTCACCACTACACCACCTGCTGGTCCTGTAACTTTCAATTTCTTTAACCTTAAGTTTCCAGTACCATAGAGGTTTAGTGCTTTTCAAAGAATTAGCCCACTAGTGAAGCTCCAGTGTTTATGAAAGGTAGTTTTTACCCTTGGCACCATTGGCATTTGGAGCCAGGGGATCCTATGTTGAGGAAGCTGTCCTGTGTGTCCTAGGCTCCTCAGCAGCACCCCTGGCCTCTGCGCACTTGTTGCCAATATTACCCCTCCCTGACCCAGAAATATCTAGGACATTACCAAAGTTCCCTAGGGGCAAAATCGCCTCTGGCTTAGAGCCACTACAGTAAATTCATCCGTCTGTCTGTCCGTCTTTCCTTCCTTTCTTATAAATATGATTCCTGGTGGTGGTCTTTATTAAATAGATTTGATTGGTTGCAGCTGATCCGTCAAATCCTTGTGCAAACATCAATGTAAAATTAATCTTTAGGTGTCACATTACAACTTTTACTGTACCGTCCTATGTACTAACTCATCTGAAACTGAAATGATCTGCCGCAGGCATTAATTATCACCAAAGCATCTGAAAAGAGCACTTCTAGAAACTGAAAGATGGAAGTTCAAAATGGAATGCCTGAAATAATCTCCCTAGGGAAAGCAAATGGGATCCATGCAAAATGGCTTTTAGCTTTTATTTTGACTACAACTCTTAAACTCTTTGGTGTTTCAGCACCTCCTTCTCATCCTGGTTTGCCAGGTCTTCATGGTAGGTGATCCTGCAGCCTCACACTAGCCCTGACAGTAAGACTGTTGCCAACTGAGATGATAAAACTGCTGCTAGTTCTTCCACAATTTTGCTGACTTTTTCCCTTTCTTTAAATCGAAACCTTGTACAAGACCTAAGGATGGGTCATTTAATTTGCTCACTTTTTACCCTGTGACATGGAAGTCCTAATGAGAAAAGTGACCGCAGAAAAGGGATTTTCAGTACCTGCAGAAGAATCCACTTGGGATGAGCAATCACACGTCTTATTATGAACATAACATCTCCCATTTTCAACCCAATCTCAGGAAGTTCTTTCCATCTTCCCCATTTTCAACAGGAATTGGTCTAACTACAACATTTGAGGTTGTGATGTCTCCTTTCCTTTTAAATTAGGCTGTTGCATCTGCCTCTGTCCCTGACTTCCTTGAAGCTGAAGGCTCTGTGGTTATCTGACAACCAGTCCCAACCTCTGCTCACCTTCCAGACAGACACAGACCACACCACAGGAGAGAAGATCTTAACTTGCGTCTTACTTCCTCAGTTGCCTTCTGAACCTCCTTGCCAAGGTCAGTTTAATTTGAGGGCAGTGGGCACAGAGTTGTGAAGCTCACGTCCGTCCATAAGGCCTCTTCCTCCCGCGGGTGCTTCTGTTTTGTCGAATCTGCTCCTAGAGCCAGTCCAGGGGAGGTTGCTGGGACTCCTCTGGGAAAGTTCCCAAACAGCCTTTTGGTTTTGAATTATAGCTAAGACCTAAAATACAGTACTCCCCAGAGAGGTAAAAGTCTCTCTTAAAATCGAAACTGATAGTTTAGAGGATTCACAGTTAACACCCTGGCATACTGTTTTTCAGCCAATGAGTTATTCTGAGATGTTGTGTCTTTGTTTTATAAATTACGTGTGTGTTTGAAAAATATTCACACTAACATCAAAATGCTATCATGAATCCTGTGCTTGGCTTGATAGAGGAGAACTGGGATACCCTGGAGAAAATGTGAGTCCCCCAAGTGGGAGAATCCAAAGCCTCCTTTCCTGTTCTGCCTATTAGACCTTAAGGCCCCCAGAGGAAAATGCGGTAGAATGTTTTACACATATAGCTGCATTGCCTTCAGGACATTTTTGAAGGAGAATTATGAAAAAAGGACTATAATATGACATTCTATAATGAAATATTAAACATGAACTTAGCAGATTTTATTGGTTTATTGAGAGAGTCATGACACATTTTACATAGAAGTACATAGAAACATATGTCATGACTGCCGATGACCCTGCGTATGATCTCAAGTAGAAAGAATTATACGTCTTTGAAAAGAGCTGCAATTCTTTCCCAGCCCTTTTCCTTTCTGTTTTTGATTTAAAAGTTCTTTTCTTTATTGATGATAGAGTATATGTGTGCACACGTGAGAAAGAGAGAGACGAGCACTGTCCACAGAGTCTGGTCATGCTGCCATCTCCTTCCTCCAGTCTTCCATGCTGTTGATTTTGGGCATGTTGCCTGGAGTGTTTTCAGGCACACATGACCAGGGATTTGAACTGTGATAGTTAAGTGGGATCTGGTTTCTCTTGAGTAGTGCATTACCACTGCAGTATGGAATTGGCTCTTGTTTTGTTTTGTTTTCAAAAGATTTTTTGCCATAGGGCATGTGTGCTCACCAGAGACACAGAGACAGAGAGACAGAAAGTGAGAAATCTCCCCCTCCAAGGGGGGATGGCCATGCCACAATCCCTTCTCTTCCATTCTCCTCTTGGGATCTTGGGCATGTGCACACCCACACGCCTGGCGTGAGTTTTAAGCTGCTAGGGCTGGGACTCACACTGCAGTCAACTATGTGGGAGTCCAACGACGTAACCATTACACCATCTGCTGGTCTCTCTTGTTTGTTTTTTAAAGCCAAGACTTAGAAGTTGAGACAATGGCTTCTCTGCCTTATTTCCTAGTTTTCCTTATGGATTCTACCGACACAGCCACAGAATTCTTGCATCTGCTCCTCAACTTACAACAGGATTATGACCCAATATTTGCATTGTTAAGTCTAAAACATCCTAAGTCAAAAATGCAGTTAATGTTCTGACAAACCCATCACAAAGTAAAAGTTATAATCAAGCCATCATAATTCAGGGGCGGTCTGAACATAGCAGTTGCCAGTCATGTGATGTGCTCCCCACTGATGTGAACCTTGTCACCACAGAGAACCTGCCTCGTTGTGGTGCGCTGGAGAGCCTGGTGAACGACGTCTCCGATGAAGCCTGGAATGAGCGCGCGGTAAACAGAGTCAGTGCAATCCGATTTTTGGAAGATGAAAAAGATGAAGAAGACAATGAAACGGTATGGAAATGGGGATTCTTTGCTTCTTTGGCAGTTCAAACTTAAAGCCTTCCAAGATTGAGAATGGCACCTACATAGGATTTTCTTTATTTCCAAATAATACTTTTTTTGTTTTGCCTTTAGCCCTTAGGATTTTTTTTTCCAGAAAACAAACCTAGGTACTTCTAGGTACTAAGTCACAAAATGTAAATAAGGCAAGTGAGACTTTCACTGTTATCATTTGAATAATTTATGGTGATGCTTTTCCTTTGTAATAGTCCCCACTCCTGTGCTCAGTATTTGCTTAAAATGTGTGTGTTCCCCATGGATGAAGTCTCTTCCCACCCTCCACCACCATTTAAGGCCGTGCCATGTTGACTTCGTTCACTTGTCACCGTGTAACTTGCTGTCACACCTTCTCTCTCTCCTTCATATCACCCGGTCACTGTAAAGTGCTTATGATCTTAGCCGGATTACCTTAACACATTTTTGTTCTGAAGTCAGGCATAGATTTGAAAATACAGTCATCCTTCCTTCCTTCCATATTTGAAAGTGTCTGTCAGATAAACAATACCTCCAGAGGTCGTGACAGCTACAGAGATCTTCCCAGTTGACTTCTGCTTCTTCAGCTCCTTGTACCAATTGAGATTTTTGTAAGGAGTACTTAAAGGAGTACTGGCAGCACCCCCCACCACCACCCCAAGCCAAAGGCAGTTTTAAATTGTGGTCTATAGTCTTCATTATTCCAGCTGTCATCAGGTGGTATCTTCAGCATTTAAGGTAGCAGAACGCAAAGTGGAGATTAAGGTTGACAAAATAACTTCAACATAATGACTGATGCTCACGTCGAGATTTGTTAGAGTGATTTTTTCACTAGTTACTTCATTGTCTCAATAATGCTCTTCTGCCATTTTGTTAACCCAGTTTGGTTTCTCCTGTAACTCCTGGATAGGCTATTTAAAAGATGTAAGTTCTGTTTTATGAGCAAGAGAGCGTGTCACTTATTAAATAATACAATCTTTAAAAAGTTGGCATACTCTGTTATTTACCTCTCAACACTGCAGTCTTTAGAGGAAGAATGTGAACTTTCATCTGTCGATCATATGAATAGCATACAGAGCAGCAAAATAAGAAAATGAATCCTTCTTTGCTTTCCTTTTTCTTCAACTTCCATGCCTTAAGGGTTGAAGAAAGCCAGAACCACTTTTGGTAATAGTAGAACACTATGGTGACTTTAGTTTTTGCTTTTTTTTCTTTCTTTCTTTTTTTCTTCCTTCATACCCCATAATTATATCTTAATTTTTTAAAAATTTACTTACTGTCTAGGGAACTTTATACCAATTGCGTATTTTAAAAAGTATTAGTTTATCCTAAAAGTAATCCTTCTATTGTGCTAAGTTACACGAAAGATTTTTATTTTTTAATCACCAGTGAGCAGTTGTGAAAGACAGATAGCCCCTAGGAAAGCGTTTCCACATACTTTACCTCATAATTTCTAAGAAGGTAAGCATTGTACTTGAACCCGTCTGTTTTGGAGAACAAATGGAATACATCGAAACACTCACTCTACTGTTTGTTTTTAGAGGACACTTCTGAGGAGAGCCACTCCACACCCAGGAGAGTTAAAGAACATGAAAAAGACAGTGGAGAATTTACGGAACGATATGAATGCTGCTAAAGGACTGGATTCAAACAAAAACGAGGTCAATCATGCCATTGACCGAGTGACCACTTCTGTGTAGATATCACCTCTGGGTTTTACCTCCGGTGTCTTCCCCTGCTGTTGAGATGTTCCTGTCTGCTTCAGTGGAGCCTCACACAGTCCTGTGTCCTGCCTGGCACCGTGCGCCACGTCCTGTCCTCTCCAGTGTCGCGCGTGGGACGCTACTCCTAGGAAGTGCCTTACTCCCGTCCCTCAGCCAGTCGTACCAGTGGTCTACCAGTGTGATTGTCTTTCTTTTTTTTTTTTTTTCCATTTCAGTTGTTTGTAATAAGTAGAATACACTACTGTAAACATCGGATCTTTGTTTTTGTCTTGTGTTTGGGGTAAGGGAGAGCAGGAAGAGGAATTTTATCCTCCTCCATTCTATAAAGTGCTGGGGCATTTTGAATCTAAGTTCTCTTGGACCTACTGATGAGAGAGAGTTTTATGTCTGGGGAGAAATTGATACTTTTTAAAACTTTTTTGGCAGCTCAGATGGTGTAAATTTAAAAATTTTGTATAGATATTTCGTAACAAAAAAATGTATTTCTTTTTTGTTATTTTATCTTAAAGAGCGGTAAGAGCGGTACGTATTTTAGTATTTGTGCAGAAAAACCAGTTCTGAAGTATTTGTTTGTATTTGTACCATCCACTTGTGCCTTATTGTGTCCTGTGTCACGTCAAATCAGTTGTGAACAGTGACATCCTGAACAGTGAGATGAGAAGAGGAATGTGGTACTTTGAAAGCAGTGTTGCATTTTAACCAATAATCTACCTAGTGGATTTGTTTTTAACCAAAAAAATTACCAATATTTGTAAATTGTATTGGTTGATTTCTTTTTTGAAAAGATGAACCAAAGGATTAGACTGCTAATAATTCATTTCTTACACTTTACCTTTTCATGGATAAGTCTCTTATAATGAGTGTAGTGTCAGACTGCTCCTACTCCAAAGGTGTGTGCCATTTATAAAATAAAATAGAACAGAAAAGCACAAAAAGAGAAAACTGGTTCATAAGTTCAGTGGGTAAGTAAATTATGTACCACAAAAGAAAGTATGAATTTTTTAAACTGAAGAAAGCTTTAAAATTTTTATACTCTGTTATAAAAATCACAATAAAGCAAGGTAACCTGCAACCATAATAGAAATGTTGCCATCTTTGTAAGTGCAATTTAATTTGTAAATAGAGTTTGAGTCAAAGTATGACAAAATAGTGCTTCAAGATTTAATTTTAAATCTGCTAATTTCATGGGGATGAGGATGTGTTTGGGTGTGTTTCTGTTGATTTCCTTTTTGTATGCTGTGATAAAAAGAGACATGAAAAATGCCAGTCACTACGTGGTGCCTAGGAAAAACATGTGTGTTCATTTATCCTCTATGAAATAAACTCACCCTGGACATTAGCCATACAGCTTTTTAAAATTAATTATTACTTTGTATATTCAAATAATAGGCAGCCCAGCTCCAACAGTGTGCTTCTGTCCATTAAATATCTAAATTGCCTGTTTTTAGTAGCCTCCTATAGACTCGAGTTCTGTACAGAGCAGGATCCAGAATTGCCTTCAGTTCTGGCTCATAGTTGGTGATTGTGGCTATCTCGTCAACTGGACTTCTTAGAAACCCATTTGCAACCAACTAAGTACGAGACCTTCTTTTCTTTCTTAATGAAGTTTACTACCCATTGGGTGCCCTGAGCTTTCTATGGTTATGTGTATATGCTGTATAGGTATGCATTTTAAAAACTATTTATTGAGCTGAAAGTACATTGCACATAGTACTTTTGGGCTAGTCAGTTTTATTTCTTGCTTCCTAATCTGTGAGTAGCCATTTCCGCCTTCATTTTGAGGTTTTGTCATACTCTGTTTTGTTTTAACCTATAAAGATGATGCCAGTAGCTCATGGGTTGATTATAGATAAGCAAATTGGTTTTATATAAGGGGAGTTGTCTTGGCACTGAAGAATAAATTGAAATTACATGTTTTTTTTTGTTTTCATTTATAGCTCACGCTTTACTGTTTCATTTATCCAGGCTCTAATGGACTAGAGGTAGACAGATGGTGTGTTTGTGCTTAAAATCAGTCATTTTATGTACCTAATTATTTGTTTCCTTTGGCCTGTCTCCTTTATTTCATGTTCAACTGGTTGGTTGGTTTATTTGGTTTTTGGTTTTTGTTTTGAGTTTTAGGGATTTTGCTGGTTTGTTTCCCCCAATTTTTTATTTCCTGTTTTTAGCAAGGAAGTTGCATCCTGGTGCATAAAATAGCCAAAAATATTAGTGATGGCAAAGTAATCAAAGTTGGTGATGATGAAAAGAGAGACTGGTGGGGCCAACAGGTGGTATGGTAGTAAAGGCACTGGATTCTCACATGACTAACTATGGTTCAAGTCCCTAGAGGCTTGCTTTCTTTCTCCCTCTCTCCCTCTCTGGTGAGTGCACATGTCCTGTAGCAAATTTAAAAGTAATAATAATAAATAAAGTTAAATAATTATTTTAAAAAAGAAAAGAAATTGCCAAATGTTTACCTAGATGTTGTTCCTCACCCCTACCCTTGGAAAGTTTGAAGGAATGGGCCTAACCAACACAATCTTCCTATCTAAAGGAAGAGGCTCTCTGCAAGGTGAAGAAGTAAGGTGGAATCGTGTGCATCAGCCACACATAGCAGCTCTTGTGCCATCTCCTGTGAAAACTACCACACCCAAGAAGACGGGCTCGGTGGGTGGGGCAGAGGCTGGGAAGAAGTCTTCCACATTAGAAAGTAACTCTGTACAGCTGGCCCTCCCCTTGTGAAAATGACCAGCCCTGCACTGCGGTGCACACTGGCTGTGGTGTGGTGACCCTGCCCAACACTTTCTAATGAGGAACAGAGCGCTAGAGCTGCTTATTAAGAGAATGCAGTTGGGGATATTGCAGCTCGATGATATCCATGGGGAGTTGAATCTCACTTCACCAATTGTTATTGACTTACCTCATTCAATTTTCCAAAGGGCCAATTTAAAAACAAAACAAACTCTTCTTATTTGGAACAGTCAAATCATACAAAAGTAGAATCATATACTGGACCCCCATCTGCTTGTCATCCACCTTCAACAACTGTAACACAAGACCGATACGAAGCCATTTGAAAAGAACCAAGTTATGCTTTTAAATACATTCAGAACAAAATGCATAATGAAATAATTTTTTAAATATTTAATTTTATTTTTTAATTTGATGAGAGAGGGAGAAAGTAAAAGTGACAGAGCAAGTCACCAGGTCCAAGACTGGCACCATGGTCGGCTATGTGGGAGTTCAGCATCCTAACCATCATGCCACCTGCCAGCCCCAGCATAATAAAACAATTTTTTAAAAAACTTAGGAAAAGTAGAGAGTGAGTGTGCCCTTTAAAACAGCACTTTGGAGTTAGAATTTTTTTAAAAATTGTTTTAGTTTTTGCCATTTTTAGGTTCATATCATAGGGTACATGCATTTGCTAGAGAGAGACAAAGAGACAGAGAGAAAGTGAGAAATCACCCCTTGGGTGGATGGCCATGCCACAGTCCCCTCTCCTTTTCTCTCAGAGTTTTGAGAATTCATACACACGCACCCGATGTGATTTCTAAGTTGTCTGGTCAAGGACTCAAGCTATGGTTAGCCATGTGGGAGTCCAACACCTTAACTACCACACCACCTGCTGGTGCCTGGCGTTAGAATTTTTGACAGTCAACATAGCCTGTAAAGGCAGCATGCCTTTAGAGTCATATACATACAGATGTAGGTTTGAGTCCCAGCTTTGCCATGTGGATTTGGGCAAACTGTTTCACCTCTCAAGTTCAAGTCATTCATCTCTAAAATGGGGCAACAATATCTCTTATGGTCTAGTAGTGAGGGTTAAATGGGATGTATAAAAAGCTCTCAGGAAGTGGGTGGCTGCTTTATTACAGATTACAGGTCTGGTTGCTGTTATTATGGTATTATGGTGGTGTTGGAAGCTCTGCAGTTCCTGCCACCAACCCAGCAATGCGAGACCTGGTGAGTGGTGTTCTCAGGAATGAGAACACACACTAGTTCTGAGAGAGAAAACTGATCTGAAAACTTGTTCACTTGTGATTTTAAATATAGACCCCAGAGCTAAGTAATGAATGAAGGGAACTTTAATTTGGTGGGCTTCCCCAATAGAAAGTTTGGCAACAGGTCTACAGGAACCCCCTCATTTTAACTGGATTTCCTCACTCCCCACCCTCAAGGTAAAACTAGATTCTTTTTTTTTTTTTTTTTAAGAGAGATTTTTGCTATAGGGTACACACACTTACCAAAGAGTCAAAGACAAACAGAAAGCAAGAAATCACCCCCCTGGAGGGATAGCCATGTCTCAATCCCTTCTCCATTTTCCTCTTGGGACCTTAGGCATGTGCACACGTGCCTGACGTGAGTTTTAGGCCGCCAGGTCCAGGACTCAAACCACAGCTGACTACGTGGGAGTACAGTGACATAACCATTACACCATCTACTAGTCCTGGTGAAACTAGTTTCTACCAAGAAATGATCAAATACCTAATTGAGAAAAAATTCTCCTTTTCCACAAAATGTTCCACTCTTTGCCGTGTCTTCAGTTTTCCAAGTTTTGGTTGTGGTGCTCATTTTCTGTCCCTTCTCTATTTCATCTTGGATTAATAAACTTTCACCTTTTTTACCTCTTTTGTGTTCTGCCTTCTTTCTTTCAATGGGAGGTCACTGAGGCTTTTATATATCGGAAGGGATAAGCAGATTTAAGACATGGATCACCCTTGGGGAAAACTGCTGGAAAATAAGCACAGACTGATTGGGGAAGAGGAGAGGACACTGCCATGTTGCAGGACTGTTTTCTTTTTTTCTAAAGCAGACAGCTGGCTTTGGGAAAGGGAAACCAGCCAGGGCAACCTGATCTGGTTACTTCTGTTCAGCAAGCAGTGCAGAAGGTTGGAGGTGAGTTCTTGTGCCTGGCAGTTGGCCAGGAGGACAGTGAGAGCGGGCAGTCACTGTGACAGGCATGGATTTTAGCCCAGGGCTCTGGAGTTCTTGCGGGGCACAAATCTGACTGGCTGGATCCTCCAAGTTCCTTCTGAGGCATCAACATTTGACTTCCACACACACAGCGAGCTGCCCTTCTGTATAGTCGTGAATGGTTATGGCGGCCAAGCTTTTGCCACGTGCCCTACGTTGAGAGAAACTAACAGTCTGTTTTCCAGAACCACTTCATGAAATATGTGGTGACAGTTCCATATCGCAAAGGGGAAAATTAAGATTCAAATAGTTTTAGTAACTTGTTCAAGATCGATGTGTGACAAAGTTCAAATTCAGGGAGCCAAGAGATGTGATCCTTAAGGTGCTGGACTCCCACATGGTTGACCAAGAGTTCACGTCCTAGACCTGGTGGCTTGCTTTCTCACTTTCCCTTTCTCTCTTTCTCTCTGGTGAGTGTATGTGCCCTGTAACAAATTATAAGATAATAATGATACATTTTTTAAAAATTCCAAGTCACATATTTGTTAACTAGTTTCTGTGATCTCGATGA